TGAGAATTTATTCATATGATTCAGGAAAAGATGTTRCCTACTCTTGGAAGGCGAGCATGGAAAATTTCAGTTTGGAGTTATTAAAAGTTATGATCAAATAAAATGAACAAGATGTTAGAAACGAATCTAGAAATCACTCTTAATTACAGAATACTTACTTGATTTAAGAATAGCACATTTTTCTGGATATACCATAAATTCCTGGTAGAATAAAGTAATAACATATTTCACAGAAGTGAAAATTGGTAGATGTTTATTTCAAGCAAAGGAGATCAAATGCTGCCCACACCATAATTAAACAGAACTTGTAATTATGTGTTCTGCAACASAGCTCGCTTATTACCCAGGATCTTCCATAACTGCCTGTTGCTATACACAAATGGTAAACTCAAGACTTGACACCTCAGCCCTGATTTGCAGGAGAGGATTTCTCATTTACCTGACAATCTGTCACAGCCAGAACAGGCTTCTGAATTTGCACATGATAGAAAGCACCGATTTTGTGATGAAAAATTTCAGTCCTGATTTTGTAAAATAGTCCCCAGAGCTCCCAAGCTGAGAGCAAAATTTATTCTGAGTTTGATCTGGGATGGTTTTCTAATCACATTAGCTATAAAGGCAGCCTTTTAATTTCATGGTCTCTGAGAAAATGAAACTTGAGTAAACTGAAAGCATTATGAAAAACTTCTGCGTAAATATCTGATACTATAAGTCTTGGACTATCTACACTGAGGTGATGGAACTGTAATTACATTTCTTCTTGAGATGTGCTTCTGAATTTTGGATGTTTATARTTGAGTTTTAGCCTATGTGCCAGGTTTTGCTAGGGTTATAAATACCAATCTRACTTGCACAGCATGACAGCACATTTGGAAAGGCCCTAAGCTCCAGTATCCTCACCTACCTGTGATATGAATTTGATTATGGTACCTGCACTCTCTTAAGGAGAGCTCCTGAGTGTGGCATGATGATCTTCTATATAATGCTCTCTATAAATAAATGTTAACACTGACTGAACGAGCCCATGACTGCAGTCTGTGGGATTCTTGAAACTCCTTTCATGGCAAGTGTCTGGAAAGTGCAGCTGTACTTTTGAGAGTGAGGAATAATGCATGTTTTAGTTCACAGAGCATTTACAGCCTCGTAGACTTAGAATTTTGTGGAAAACAAGAATACCAAGTGTTAACTAGAATGGGGAAAGGCAAAGAAATTTTGCTCCTAACTCCTGCCTTATGAAGCCTCAGGAAGAAACTTTCATAAAGGCAGAGACCTGAAGCACTGGCCAATGCCAGGAGAAACACAGGATTTCAGTCTTACCTTGTCTGGCAATTATTCAATTTCTGTTTATCTGCCCTTAGTGTTTTGGCCCATTGGGAATAACCTGTTCTCTGAACATGCTTGGGCAAGCCAGTTAATCTGTTTTGAGTGGATCAATGTAGATCTGCTGCAGTTAAACTGAGTGCTAGAAACACAGGCAATTTTTGCAATGGCAAGTAGTACAATGCAAGAGTAACAGATTTTAGAGTGGAAGCTGGTATTAGGGATATGACATCCACACTGTGAATTTAAGGAATTTCAATGCTATGGACAACAGAATTCATATGGCAAGAAACTTTTGTTATTCCAACATATAATTTGAAAATTCAAAGCTTGAATGCCCATATCAGTAGCAGTGCAAATCTTGGCCTCAGTTCAATCAATATATTTCTGTTTGCCCCAATATTGTAGCAGATAAGATTCACGTCTATCAGAAACAGAAGACAGATCCTTGGTTGACTTTATATTAAGCCTCTACATTTTCTCTCAAAATGATGTCCTGTTAGACTCAATTGCTTTGCAAGAAAGTWCTTTGATATTTTCTTTACTCATCTAGTTAATCATTAAATTAAACCCAGAAGAATATTTACCTATGCTCTCAACAAATTCCCATCAATAGGAATAGGTAATTTAATGGGTAAAAATGCCTCCAAATTCATCCAATTTCTTACCAATAGTGTGGAATTCAGAAAACAATTTGTAAATGGATCAATGTTTTCCCAGCTAATGGGAGAGGGGAAAGCCACATGGAATAATAACAACCATTTGCTGAAGAACAGCAACACACAATATTAAACTGAAGTTTTCTTGATTTTATTTGCTCACAGAGAAAATTCCCTAATATTATTTCCGTGTAGTACTACAAGAGAAATAATATATTTGAACATTGAGGATATCCTTTGAAGTGAACTCGATTTGTCACAAATTATATGAAGGCATTTCTCAACTGTTATATSTATATTTGCTCATTCACTACTGTATTTAAATTGTATTGGAATTAAACTGATCACTTACATTGAACTCTAAGTAGCAGATGAACAAATTCTGAAAGTTTGACCTCAAATACCATACAAGCAAAGAGCCTTTGTGCTCTAGGATAAGTTGAACTTGTACTTTTCCTAATATTATGGCTGTTCCTTTCTGTTCTGARRAAGAATAACACCCAGCATCTGSTGCAGAAGAGACTTTYGTCAGCTGATCTGAACCAYGGCTCTTGTAAACAATCCAGGATCCTAATCCTAAGGAAGTGCAGCCCCTGACAATTAATGTTAAAGTTCACATGAGCAGGAGGTTTCAATTCTCATTTTTCCTAATTTATTAACAGAGAAACTGTTGGAGTTCAACAGTGTGTTAGTCATTCAATAGGGAAAGAGAAAATAATGAGACACTTACGGCTGGTGCATTATTTTGAATCGGCTCAGCTCATAMTCTGATATACTCTGAAAAGAGAGAAAACAGGTTTTATAGTTTAAATGAAGATCATTTTAATCAAGAGCAATCCATGAAGTGAAATACATGGTATTTTTAAAAGTGAACTAAGMAAAGACCTGAAAAATCAGTTTTTAGTTTTGTAGCTACATGCTTGTGTCATCTTGGTTAATGCTTAACTTTTTGTTATTGGCCTGTTGTAACATTTCTAGAAAGCTGATAGCACACACTGCATTGTCAAACTGGAATTTTACTGGGCATGTGGTGGATTAAATTAGGCTGGTTAATGAATCATTCAAAAACTGATAAGCAAGCCATTTAATGTGGTCTCTTCACAGAATTTATTTCGTTTTCTTACTCAAATCAGCAGATTAGTATAACAATGGTTGAGTGGAAGATACTTTAACAATGGCTGGGATATTTTTAACCTCATGTTTGKTCTGGTCTTGTTCTAAAGTTCTGCATGACTTCTCAACCCACGAAAAGCYGGTAATGAATAAGAAATAACATTTGTAGTTTGCTACCTTGGCACATGAAATGCCATTCTAGTACTGAACAAGTTAATTCAGGTACTGGAAACAGTTTCACCAGATTTCAGCAGTTTGTGTTGCTCTATTTACCTTTCACCTCAGTGTCACAAGAAGTCCCTGCACTACTTCTGATGTTCAAGGTAGTGTGCAGCTYGCAGTCAAACTTCTTCAGAGTTTTAAGTTAGTCTAAATGAAACCTTTTATTTTATCTATGGATTTTCCTTTACTGAAAAATTTCCAGTAAGTCTGTGGATTGTACCAAGTGTGGCATTACATGTTTTCAGTCCAGAAACCTTCTAAAACGAAAATGCCCCCTTTTTCAAAACGTGTCCATTGAGTAGATGCAATGCTAGCCCTCAGTCTATTTTTGTGTGGGGAAAGGCGAATCAAGTTGCCTGTTTTCTCACACTTCCTAGTCACTTCATAGTGGATGTGAAATCTCCGAAACAGATACTTGCCAGTGAACTCAGTGATTTTGGGTTCATTGTAGTAGGACTGATATTTGCCCACTCTATCTGGCTTTTTTTTCTGAATAATGCCTCACCCATCAGGCCCAAAACAAATTATTTTGACTTTTCTCTCACCATCTCATCAGCATGATAGATGTGTTTGTATTGGGCATACAAATGGAGATACTAGTAATAAGCATATGAGAAGTTCAAGTGGAGAACATATCCATTCTCAGAGAAAACATATTTCCTCAGACTACATTTAAATTGCAGTGAATCTCTGCATTTCATTGACATATTTGTTGTAAAATTATGCCATTTCAGACAGTAGAGAACCCCCAGCAGTTAATACTTAGCTTGTAATTATATTGTAACGAAAAGCAGCTGCATATCTGCATGTAGTGGGTAYGGTAATTAGCAGGTGACCCTGCAAATCTAGAAACCACCCCATTCCTGAGGAAATTTCAAACTGCATTCAGCTGTGTGATTGCCATGCAGGCAGCTCCTTCAGCTGTTAGTGATTGCTCACCAGATTGCCTCTGTATATAAGTGACCAGCAGCAACAGGGGCATTTCCTCACCTTCTCTCTGCACTTTTCACGAGGAGGAGGAGCCAGCTCTGCTTTTTATTGTAAGATCTCTCTTTTTTTTTTTATATATATATATGTATAACAGAGAATTTAAACTTTTGCTTGCCTGCATTAAGATTGCCAGGGGTTTAATGGCTTGCTGATTTCAGAGCACTAACTTGTGCAATTTTCTGTCCTTCTGAGATGCTCTTTGTAGGAATGTGCTGCTTAAGYGCAGCTGCCTTTCCACACAGGCAAGTGCTGGTCAGATCCAGCATTTTTTAAACTTGTGATRGAGCTTGCTAGAGAGGGAAGCTATGGATCTGAGCAGTTCCTTTATTGGGGAATGTTTTATGGAGAGATTTTTAACTTGTTTCTCATCCCCCTCCCCTGGGACAATCTTCAGTATGGGGGTTAAGCTTTGTGGCTCCCTAAGGTTTGAGATGATTGATATCCATGGGTCTAGCTGAAAGCTTTTTTTTTTTTTTTAATTTCCTTTACTAAAATGCACTATTGATTGAAACTAAGAGCTGYTGCTGCTTTTTAGCAGCACAATTCTGGTCCTAGGAAAGAGTACAAAAATATCTTGCAAACTCAACACTTTTGAAATGACACAGTAGCTTCTGTAGAAAGATGACTAATGCTTCCAGGTTTTAATTAACCATTGCTTCTGTTGTTGCTTAGGATGTACATTGTTAGTGATTCATATTGGCATGAATGGAACAAGCTGCAAATGAATATGTGTGATAAAGAAGAAGTTTAAGTATATTCTTTCCTGGAGGCATTTGGGCTGCCAAATATACCATGAGGAACTAAAGGGACAGGTTGTTTTTTGTTTTAATTGGGCTTTTTTTTTTTTTTTT